CAAAGATCTCGTTTAGAGCACAAATTAGAGTGTCCTTGACATTGTAGCAAGGCCGTTGCTTGAAGAGTTCGGTTCGATGGCTGCAGACATTGCATGATATCTGAGACCTTCAAAAATGGACAGCTACAGCTTGGCAGCTGAGAGGAGGTATGCCCATCGGAACCCAAGAGAGTGCGACACGTTTCGTAAAAGAGAATTCGTCCTGGTCCTTAGGCTCCCTGCTCCCAAGTTGCCCTACTAGAACAGGACGCCGCTTGTTGCAGTGCCCGATCTGGTTCGTAATCATTCGGCATTCTGTACTTTGGTGTAACTTCTATGCCAAAAAAGGCTCCGCGCAATGTAAGACTGTGGACTGAGGTCAAGTGAGGTCATGCTAGACATCACGAGCGGATGCAGGCACTTGCGCCACAAGCAGCACCATCAGTTTCCATAAGTCCTGCGATTGGAGTAAATGTAAGCGAACTCCTTGTCGCAAGCATACGGTGTTGTGGGTGTGAAGAGTGCTGGTGTTGGGTCAGGGTGGCAATGGACATCTGCCTCGTGCAGGAGGCAGGCTGCCCGATGTAAAACGAGCTCACTTACATGGGCGAAAAATGGCTCACACGCCCATAGGACGGCCAGAGATAGGGAAGCCTTGGGCGCAGCAGCTCTAGCTTCAGAGAGCTGGGCCCATGACTCCTTCTTCGCTCATCTGTGAGAAGCAAATGGAGTGGTGGCTCCATGGAAGCTGTCCAAGTAGCAGCTTTCGAATTGAAGTAATGTGCACCTCACCAGGACTGCGAATACAGCGAAACTCCCAAACCGACCATCTCCTGTGCGAAGCAAGATGTGTTGGATATGGGCGACAAGTAGTCGGGCAGTCGGGGAGTCTGCTGCATCGAAACACCTTGGCAGGCATCCCCTGCTTGACTTCTTTATGTCAATGCATCTTCCCAGGTCTTTATTTCGCTGGGCCATGGCGGGATATTTGTCACATGGCATCGGCGAGTGCTTCGAGTTGCTTCCGAAGAGAGCCCAGTGACAAGTTCCTGCTCCCACGGCATCCTGGGTGTCGCTGTTTAGGCACCTTCGAAGGCGCGAAGGAACGGCACTTCGCTCATCCTGTTTTGCTTGCTGGCAGTGCACCAAAAAAGAGATGGTCTGCGGACTGATAAGGCCAGCCGGTAAGCGCTAGAGTCTAGAGAATGCGAGGAACCCAGATGAACCCCGCGTGCTTTCACTGCAAATCTCCTTTCTTGGGCTCTTTCCAATTCGCAAACCAATCCTGCACTGTCAGCTGGAGCGAAGGCGAAAGCCCGACACCAGGGAGACATGACTCGGACTCTCCATCCCTGCTACAGTGGCAATAGCGCTAGTGCGAGCCACGCGCTCGCACAGCGGAGAATCCGTTCGCGACTCCCTAGTGTCTGACCTTCCAGCGGTGTCTGTTGTCACCCCGAAATCGATAAGCTGCCCATTGGGCTACGAATTCCGCGATTGATGTCTTTGTCATTGTCGGCGGCTCTGCCCACTACGGCCAACACAGCTCGGGAACCGAACACATCTTCAGACTACCGGTCTACGAACTCTGAAGCGATACAGGACGTCACAAAAGGCAAAATCGTCTTTCCCATCTTGGGACGCATTCTTCAATTGCTCAGAGAGCCCTGGTCCAATTTGAACAGCCCTGAGCAGCATCGCATCTGCCAGTGGCATCAAGATCGCAGGAAGAGGAGTGGACGAAGGACCCATCCCAAGCTCTGTGGCCTAGGCAGAACAATAGACCGATATATGTAGAGGGAGGGGCATTGTCTTAACCAAGGATGGCGAAAAGCACGATGGGATCTCACAGAGCTTGGGGCGAGAGCCAACCTCCACACTGTCTCCCCCCTGGATCACAAGGTGAAATGGCGGTTGTCAAGGCCGCAATCAAGGATCGACCGCTTTCTGTGTCAGTGCAGGAAACCTTGCCACTCTCTCACACCTAGCAGCCTAGCATGACGGGTTTGCATTCGGAACCAGTCTTAGTCATGCGACCACTCTTTTGCAAGACAACGAATCGTGTGAGACAGTGAGCACAGCGGCGATCTCACACTTCGGGGTGGAGAGAGGAGCTCGGCTAGCTGGCATTTAAGGAATATCGTAGAGTGAACCGATCTGCCTTTTATGGATTTCGCGCATGGGATCGCGCTTGAAGGATGCTTCGTGCCCTTCCCTCACACGCTGATAGATTCGGGCATGTTTGTGGGGGAAGGGAATATGACACAACAATCGAGACCTAAAGTCCTAAGTCCTCTCTTACGCCGAGGATGTGCCAAGAAATGAGCCGAGACTCCTCAGTTGCAAGGCCCCCGGGCGCCTCACTACGGTTTTGAGTTACTGCTCTCACCCAGTCTGCCAAACGCCAAGCGCGGCTGATTTGCAATCATGCGCATGGTTGGCTTTCCCTGGGTGCACATGGATCCAACAGAAAAACGGCCCGAGATCTCTCCCAACCCCTGTAAATCAATGCTTGTACCTGCCTTTGGAATCCGTGACGGAAAAGCGAAGCAACTTCGAAGCTAGGGCAACGACGGAAAATGCTCGGCTTTTCCCTAACCCGAATCGCCAGCATGAGGCTGGGGTGAAACTCTATCACAGGCGGCTGTGAATGCTGTTGCCAGCAACCCTCTTCAACAGTGGTGTGTCTACTCGGTGCTGCAACGTTTCAGGTCGAAGAGGATGGGGCAGACAGCGGCTTAAGCGGTTTGGAAGTTTCGTGTGGCTCATCCATCTCCTCATCTCCTCTCTGTCATGGCAGATACGCAGAGAGACGCCGAGGCGCGTCTCAAAACCTCGCGTATGCCTGTTGTCATTGTCTATCCTGATTCCCAAAGCAGACGTGTCGTCCTTTACGCTGTGAAGTGAAACGTTCTGCACACTCTGCGACACTCCATGCTGCAGTTGGCCCGAATTGGCAAAATCACGGAAACTGGTGACAGGCGGAGTTAGCTAAAATTCGCAGAGGCTGCTAGGCCCCTTCTGCGGGTTCGAAGTCTGGTTGACCGTGACTATGAGCTCTGCCGCCGTAGCCGCTGCTCGTGAGCAAGGGAGGTGACCATTGCCACCCTCCCCAGCAGCCTTGCCACCAGGATCGTTCCGTTTACTTTCTGCGAGCAAGAAACACCTTACTCTGCCTTCGCCCCAGGTGCAGAACAACAGCTGGCATGGCTTGCAGTTGTTTGCTTGGGGTCGGCTGAGCTTGGGGAAGCGACACCAACTTGAGTCAAAAACCCATGTGCCATGACATGGAATAGGGCAGGGGGTCCACTTCGTCTACTTCCCGCTCTTAGGCCGGCGGCACGTGTTGAGTACCGGCCGGTAGAAAAACATCGAAAACTTTGCTGTCCAAGCGGGAACGGGTAGAGAAGGTTGCCAAATGCTACATGTCATTCTTCTTTTTGTTGGCACCGTTGCCGCCTTTCTGTCCACGCTCCCGCAGGTGTTGTGACAAGACGAGCGAATCTTCTGCTGGGTCTCTTGGCTACAGGACAAGACGAACTTTACACATTTTCCAGATCCTCGCACCCTTCTACAAAGGAGCTGCCGCTGCAGGTCCCGAAGCCCCGTGCCTCACGACCACAGCAGTAAAGTCCATCCGCCACTTCTGCCCCGTGAAATGCACATCGAGTCTCGATCATCCGGCTGTCCCTTGTCAGTTGTCGCGGAGCATGATTCCTTCTGAAGAGAGATCACTTGATCCCTGGCATAACATGCTAGCATGTCACACTTAAGGGATCTTAAGGGTATGTAGCGTATCTTCTAAATGTACCTGTCAGTAAAGGCAAACCCTCGTCAGCAGTCGCTGAAACGTCGTCAACGCTATAGGAGGTCTGTGAAGAGTGTTCGCTGCTAAGACTAGAGACAAGGCCTGCGCGGAAGCAGAGACCCACATTGAACAAGCAGGCTGCAGCTGTGAGTTCAGGGTCCTCGTCAGGCCTGCTGTTTAGTTTTGTCACAACCTGAACTCTCGGTCGCTAAAGCCCTGAGGTCAGATCCCTGAAACCTAAACCCCGAGTCCCCAACTCACAGGCTGCAGCCTGGCCAATCGAGCTTTCTTACAGCTTTCTTGGCACCGGCTTACCTTCGGGTCACGACAGGCGATACCCACTAGAACCCCTTCGTCCAGAGTTCATGCAGATCGCTGACATGTCCTGGACTAGACGCTACTCGATGACACCTCACAGCAGGCTCTTAGAAGACCAGTTAAGTGCTCCCCGAAGCCGAAACAAAGCTCACAATGTCGAGAGAGAAGAACAGCTGGTAAGTGAGCCAGATGTCGTGGCACGGACGACCCGCAGAATGATTGAAACAATGGCGATAAGACTCCAACACTGGCATTCTCCGCAAGGCTTGCCTTGAATGGGGAGCACACCGTCTGCAAGTACACAATAAGGAACTATAATGCCCATCCCATTCGTTGTTCACAATCAGTACTTTTAGGAATCTCATAGCAGTGGATTTACACAGGCGCGATAGCGCCGTTCCAAAGCTAGACGAAGCTTACTGCTAACTGTGTCTAGCTGATGCTACTTGGTGCCACGACATCATGCTGCCTATCAGCATGCCTCTCTTCCAAGACGGATTCGTGTTCAGGAGCAGGTGAAACAGAGGTCGAGACTCCCATCCTCAGGCCACACAGCATGAAATTGGGTCGCCTCCTCGTGATGCTAACCTGAATCCTGCGCACACCTTGCAAGCTTGAGGAATGCTGGGCTGCAGACGTGACTTACTATGTCTTTGAAGCAGCCTTGGATGAGCGCGTGCTCCTCGGCTCTGAGGGCGATAAGAAGCAGAGCAGATTGGGGTGTTGAGTTTTGGTGGGCTCAGCTTCGGGGATTGTTTCTTGGCGCCAAGTTCAGAAGCCACTTATGGCTTCTGGTTTGGGGTTGCCTTCCATCCTCGCTATCTTGAATCAACGGCTGGGTTGCTTCGACAGGCATGTGTCAGCATGAGGCTCATCACGTCGAACCCGGCGGGGCCTTCAGGAGCAGCTCCGGAATTGGGCGATCTGTGAACTTCAGGGTCTTTGTGCAACAATTCCTTGGTGCATTCAACACGAACTAGCCAGCACATGCCAGCTACTGAGCTGCCTGGTGAGGCCACAATCGCGAAGCACGAGGCCGCCAGCTCGACGCACGGCTCTTCAAACACGGAGTGAAAACAAGCCTGTGCTACATACCGGCCCGGCCGGCCCGCAGCATCCGGGTGCCAGACTTCAAACGCTCGGTAACGCGTATGACAGCCTGCGCAGAAAGCACGCGGGATTCCCAAATCAGGCTTACAGGATCGGATCTGGCGCAGGTTCGTGCAAGTGCACCAGATTTGCTTGAGACCCCTTTGCAGCCTCCCGCTCATGAAAGGAGTCGCCAAAGGAAATGACCTGATGTCAGCTAGGATCAGCTAGGGGTGTGGAGGGACAACTTGGAGAGTGCTACATCGTCGATTTCTTCAGTTCTTTGTTCTAGTGTTGTCTTCTGATTCTGCAATTTATCAGAAGCAAATTCACAAGCCCGACCCAGGCCCCGTGCATTTTTGAGGCGATCCGATGTCAGGGACTCGTAGTAGTTGCAGATTTCGGTCTCGAAAGCAAGGTATTTCCACCTCAGATGCTTCTTGACCGATTTCATGTAGTTTAAGCCAGTCTCCTCCCTGACTCGAAGCACGGCAAACAAACTCCCCCTTGATCCCAGATCTCTCGCAAATGAGGCTGCAGCTGGAAGGGTGCAGCCATACCTGCAAGCTTCTGGCATTGATTGAACCATTGCCCGCTGTGGTATATGTCTCAGGCTCACGAGTCGGGTTTTGCTGCTAGCTGGACGAATGCGCCATGGACTGGATGTGAACTTTCATCTTGCAGAAACTTCTCAACGGACACCACTGCGGCTTGAGGGCTTGCGTGGGCAAGGACAGTTTGGCACCTTGGTTCTCGTAGGTTGATCGCGCTGAAAACAGAGTCACATCCTGCCAGGGCACGCCAAGTCTCTGGTTATCCCTGTGACTTGGCGCAGTATCAGCTCCCTTGCGCTAGGCCGCTAGGCTGATTGTGATCAAACTGGACCAGTGACTTTTCACCAGACCGCGCCCTCTCGCCAAAACTCGCCTTGTCAAATTTGGAATGCAGCATCAAATGTCCTCCAAATGCGGATAGAGTGATGGCATGAACTTTTGACCTTGGCCACCGTGACAGGCATGCAAAGAGGCCCGCAAGTGAAATCAGAGGCGTAGGTGGAGCATCTGTGCCCTTCTCTCAGCATAGCCTTGCGGTGCTTGATGCTTCACTGGATTTCGGATTGTCTTGATCTGATCTTCAAACTTCGAATCTCAAGCAATCGGAGTTTCGAGCCTTGACACTCTTCTGCTGGTCATGCTCAGCCCAAGGCAGCTCAGCTCAATCCAGCCGCATTCTGCGTTGGTGACGAGAACCACCTGTGGCCCAAACCCAAGTGCCGGTGTAGGGCTGCGGGGCAGAAAGTCCAGCTCCATGAGGAGACGGCAGGAGCGTGGAGCAGTCCCTCTTGGGGCAAGTGGGAGGATGGAGCTTCGGATTTAGAGCTAGCAGGCGCTGGCGCCCTTTTCGGCGAAGCAGAGGGTGCCTTTCCTGAAAAAAAGCTGCCGCTGTGCCGCTCTCTGTGAAGCTTTGGAGCAGCAACGAGCTTTCATGCTCCGCCTTCCCGTAGCGCTTGGCCACGCGGAGGGTCTTGGCAGCAGTCTGTGCCAAGACAGCAAGCTGTGCCTGTCCAAGGACAGTCTCAGGCAAGGCAAGCTTAGTTTCCTAATCTCCTCCAGGTTTGGCTGTGGACCTGCTACGTGCATATCAGCAGATCCAATTCAGGTTTATGCTGGGGGTTCTAGCACCGAGTTATGCCTGAACGACTTGGGAAGCAACCCTCCTGAAGGCACCTTCAGCTAGACATGTCGGGTGCAATCAAGTTCAGGCGCTGCCTCCTGCTCCGATGAGATGTGAGATGCCTGCAGCAGCTTGGCGCCATATCCCCCAAAATGCAACGTGTCATGTCCCGAGAGAAGTTCGCCTCGTCCAGGCTCAAGCTCTGCTCTGAGAGCCACGAGGAGGGAAGCATCTGAGCGCGCACGCGGTGTTCTCCCCGAACCCAAGCGGGACTTTGCAGGATCGTCTTCCTTCAGAGTCTCTAAGGCATGCATGGGTGATCCCGGCACCTTTGCCCTACGTCCTGCAGAAGTGGCTGCTGGCGCAGTGCGGAAGTTCGGAGACCCCGAGTGCTGAACCGTGTCGTCCCAATCGAAGATCAGAACTGTGTCCTCGTGCAACTACAGGTTTTGTCTTGCTTTACACTGGGCTTCCAACGACTTCAGTCGAAGCTGCGCAATTCAAATTGCAACAAAAGCAAACGCCGTCCCAAGCAGTCTCCAGAGTCCTCTGTGTAGAACGCATGTGGTTCATCGTCGCTCTGGCTGTCGCTGCACTCCAAGTCAGACGCCTCGAAGTGCGAACATGGCAGTTCATTAAGTGTCGCTTTCACTCGAAAGTGGCCTCGCTCACTAAGTCGGTGGAAGGATCCGACTGGGCGTCCGCTTCGACCTCAGCTCTCAGAACTTCGCCCCTCGGAGAGCTCACATGGGGCTGAGTCTTCATGTCTCTCCTTCGCAAGCCTTCCAGTTCAAGCCCTCTGGAGGCGCGGCTAGACCTTCTCCCATCAGCGTCTTCAGCATGGTCTTTTGCTCCTCGATGGTTGGGGCCTGCGTGGCATGCTGTTCTGGGACATCCAAGTCCACAAGGACAGCACGACGGAGGAAATGGCAGTGAAGACAGCAGCAAGATTACGTCGGCGGGCGGTGACAATGACGAGCACCGCAGGACGAAAAAGCTCTGCTTTCGCTGAGTCCCAGGCCATGGCTATCAGGCCTCGACTTGCATTCCGACACTCCCGGCCCCGGCGTCCCTTCAAAGTACAGAGACCGAAGTCGAAATTCTCCAGTATTCGAGTCCTTCCCAGTCCTCTCAGCTTGCCAGCTCTCGGTGTCGCTGAGTCGCCCGCTGTCCGGCGATGAGCCTTAGCTCACAGTCACGGCAGCGGTGGCGCTTTGGCTGCAAACCTGGCTATGTCTTGTTCCGGGTGTGACCAGCAGGCATCATGCTTCCTTCGATTACGATTATGGGCATTTTTCAGGAGGTAGCCAAGCCGGTCAAGTGCTTCACATGTCGACTATCTACCAGCAAAGTATGCACATGCCGGGTCCTAGACGCAACTCTTCGACCAAACTGGGTAAGCAAACACCTGAGCTCGGGGCGGCGCTGTTGTCGAGAGTACAACACTTCACTTCGATACGTAAGCCTCGAGCCAAAACTGCGTACGCCTCAAAGTATCAGCTTCACAAGCCAACAAGTCCAAAACGGCGACGCTATTTTGCTGCTAGAATGCAGCAGAACGGACCGACGATAGCAACTAGACTCAGGCGATAGACCCTCTTATCGGATGGTCTGTAACAGATCAGGCGGTGACGCGCACCGGATGCCTGGCCGTGTCCAGAACCCAGATCTGAGCAGGGGAATCCTGAGCGGGGAATCCCTTACACGACACCGTTTCAGGCGCCCTCGAAGCCGATACCTGCAGCTATCAGGCTCAGGAATCCCTTGCACTCCCTTCCGAGCACAAATGCCAAACAAAGACCTGTTTTGAAGCTTGTCTGGCACATGATCCATGCTTCCTGGCTTGCGCTTCCAGGTGAGCGGGCCAGATCTTCATGTGAGAGTCTGAGAGCGTTAGCGGTTAGCGGTTAGCGAGTCGCCATGTCAGAACCTTGGGTTCGACATGGCGCAAAATCTGCTGAAGCCCCGTCCAGTGTTCTACAGGTTTCTGACTGCTACGGAAGGCAGGTGGGTGTCTCTGCGGACAAGGGATGCAGCCGAATTCTCAAAGACTTTGCCACTACAGGCTGAAACACCGTGGAAACCTGCAAGCCTTCGCATCTTGTTCGCATCCACGCAGTTTCACAAGCGCTACTCGTGCAGAATTTGAAGCAACCAAGCTGGCTCTCGACTTCGCCGAAAGCCGCACCAACTGCCAGCGCCGAACTGCCAGCACTCCCGCTTTGATACCCGCACCACCGAATACCTGTCGGTAAGCAGTGACAGCTCTACACAAAGAGCTCAGGGACTTCGTGCGCTGGGCTGCCCCTTCGGGGCAGAGCGATGGCGGCAGGGAGTTACGGCGGTCAAGAAGCTAGACGAAATGGATTCTGAATGGAATGCCCGACAGTGTGCTGGATCTTATGGAGAAACCCGATCTTCTCTCCCCACAACCGCAGGTGGCCGAAGCATCAGTGCGAGACGGTCCTAGCATCGACCATTCTCTGAAGCTTGCACAGAAAGCTTGAGGGGGTGCTCCGTATGCAGCGAGACTTGAGTTCCAGACAATAGGCACGATGGTACTTCACAAGATCGGTGGAGCCGAGCGCCAACGCCCAAACAGCAAATTATGCAGAAGTGCCGCTGTCCTCTGCACCGGCGGAGCTTCGATGGCCAAGGGCTCGGAACCTGCCAGCGTGCGAATTTTGGAGATGCCATGCTTGGCGCAGAAAGATCCCGTGACGTGCATTCGAACCTCGCTGCAGTTGGTCGCTGCATGTCGCTGCTCTGTCTCGCTTGAAACGTGAAGCGCTGCTGATATACCAGTAGCATTTGATCAATGCTGAGCTCGGTTGGCACATGCTTAGGGCCATCCAGGCCTTTTCGAGCAGCCCGCCGTCGGATCGGCTGCAGAGCAGCCCACTGCTCTCTGTAGTCCTTCAGGAATCTCTGTATATGTACAGATAGATACACAGACTGATAGATGGGTATAAATATCTATCTATCTATACTTTTTGGATGATAGGTGTGCGTATTTGTGTTCAACTAGCTACTCAATGGCCCAGCAGCAAGGCGGGCCGAGCGGCCCGAGGCACAACGGTCCGACGGAGTCCTTCGAAGAGTCGACGAGAGACTCTTCCTCATCGTCGAGGTCGCCGTCGATGTCCATCGCCTTTTCTCTGATAAAGAACGTACTTCTACACACTGCTCAAAAAAGATGCGACTGGGTGAAGTTGATTACGAGAGTCAGAGCTCAATGGGACATTGCACACCGCGTGTGAGCAATTTGCAGTGCTTCTGCTTCGAGTATTTTGGAAGACGTTGGCGGCAATGAAACTGTCCTTGCTGGCTGCCTGCTGACATAAACCTACAATGAACACTCGCACTGCTTTTCAGCAGGAGGGAGACCAGTGTGCAGAGGACGCGGCATCTTCTGAAACCACGGTCAAGTTCGACTTGCTTCGCATCTTCGCAGCCTTACTAGCACAGCCACCTAGAGCATGGTCAGGAGTTACAGTTACAGGGAGCTGATCTGCTAGAGCAGGCTTCACGTCAGATTCTGGTCCACTTTGCACTAAGCACGGCAGTGCATTGTCTTCGCAACTCTGGGACAGCTGCCAACTTGCTCCCAGTTCCACGCCTGCGGATCAAGGCCGCCCTTTACCGAAGGGGTTAGCGAAGCTCGCTCTTTCGGCAGAGCGTGAGAGCAGCCTCGAAAGTGCCAGGGTCTCAACCTTCTCCTCGACTTTGCCAGGCAGCGCTGCCTGCTGCGGTGCTGTCAGTGCCAGCATCGACTCCTGCTCATGCCACGTCTGCCCAGATCTGCCCCTACACAACATGGCGTCCTGAACCAATTCCAGACGCTTGCGGTTCCCGGAAGAAACGAGCCTCCGAACCTGCAGAGCATAGCTCTCTAGACTCCGGCTCTTGTGGCACGCCAGTTGCAAGCTTTTTTCATTCCTCTCGCCTTGTCAGACCGGTTGAGCAACTCCGGCTTGAGGGCCGGCAGCTCTGGGATCTCCTTGATGTCTTCCTGCCATCGAAAAAATCTCCCCATCTGCGATCTGATCAGAAGCCTTGGGTCTCTGACCCTGAAGTAGTCGAGGAGATCTTTCACGAGGCCGTCCACAACATCGTCCTCTGCAAACCAAGGGCCCACTGAGCGAATGGTTGCTACTGATGATGACCCGCTGCAGATACTCTCGACTCTTGGCAGTCCTGTACAGAAGACGGATACTGTCTCAAATAATGCTGCATCGTGAAGAGCACGTCGTGCCGGAACACGTGGATGGGAACCCGACTGACAGATGTCGGAGCTACCGATGCCAAAACTTGCAGGCGAAGGCCACATGAAAAATGTCCCGGAAGCTCCAGCTCGCCTGACCCAGACCTTCTCCACACGAATGGCCTAGCTTGAGGGGACTCTCGCGGGGCAAGTGATCAAGAAGAGGGTCTGAGGCCGAAGCCCCGGTGTTGAGCTTTTCCGTGGTCAAGATCTCATCATAGATCCGCTCCCTGTCACTTTAACTTCTAAGTGAAGCAGGACTCGCCGGATCGCGGCACGAGCAGTGAGTACGTGGGTACACGCAGAAGAAAGGCAGGAGGTCAGGAACATGAGTGCACGTGTGTTCCTCTCAGGCACTGCTAGCATGAAGGCCATGGTGTTTCAGTTGCTGGAATCTTCTTACCGCAAACCTGCTGTAGAAATCAGAAATTCAACCGCGCAAACCATTTGAGATGATTCTCATTCTCCAATGTTTGGCATGTTGTTCGGGACTTATCCGAAAGTGCTGGTGGCCCCTGTGAGTTCTGCATGGGCATTGCCCAAATGCCCGTGAAATTTCGCAGGCATCTACATGCCCAGAACTTATCATCAGCTTCCTCTTTCCAACGTTTCTAGCAAGGCAGTGGAGTGAACGACCTTCTGTGATAGATGCTGGATTGGATGACGGCACACCGGCAGCTCCGCAGGGTCCGAAGCCAGGTGGCCACGACACAAGAATGATGCAGCACGGGCAATCTGGGTCAGCAAAAGCACGCAACAGCCAGAGATAAGGGGAATGCAGGGCATGAGAAAAGCCGGCCGAAATGGAACGCAAGAACGTCCTTCTGCACAAAACTACTTGAGTGCATTACATGCTTGCGCCAATATAGCTTGTGCAGTTCCCTTTAAAAATTGATGTCAAACGGCTGCAGCGACATAGCTTCGTACTCCTCGCAGCGCTCATCCAGCATTCCTCACGTTTCTGAAATTCTGGGTTACCATTGCAAATGTGTCACAACAGTCGCGCTCGGCTGCAGCTTCCAAGACAAATATCAGCCCTGAGAAACAGCCGGCAGGGCGAATCGCTGATCCTCCTTTCCGACTCCAGGCGAGCCTCCAAATCACAGAGATGCGTGGTTTCTTGGCAAGTGCTTCACTGAGCAGATCGAGCTGAGGTGGAGAAAGATTTGAAACACGAAGTTGTCGTCTTTTTCGCTCTCTTCCGCACGACATCTTGACAGTAATTCCAGAAACCCACTCGCCGGAAACTCCCCTTTGCTTGAAATATCGATGAGCCAGTAATTATTCCTCAGAAAGGCTAGTGACTGGGTTCCCAGGTGGCAGTGACTGTCTCGTCACTGACCATACTGCCAAGGTATGCCAAGCTGGCCACGCTGATCTGACTGGTGCTGCTCCCGTGACCCCTAGCGTCTCTTACAGTCAGGCCGGACCGCCACTTGGTTACACACCCGTTTGCATCACAGGGCTGCTGGCAGCCGCACTTGCAACTTGCCGCGGAAGTCGTCCAAGCAACGGTAGCCTTTCCTGCACTTCCCAAAGCTGTACCGGGTGGGGGCCCTGGGGCTCGGGCGTCAGGCTCTAGGCAGGTCCTCTGCATGAGTGCCTGGAGCTCGGCAGCAATTCGCGCGAAACATCCAGCACCCTCTACACGGTGCTGAGTGGCAACCTCTCGGGGCACTTATGGGCTGTGTGGACAGAGGCATGCTCGGGACCACATGCGGTCACATGCAACATGCAAGGAACTTCGGCCGATTCATTACACCGCTGAGCATACAAACTGATCATCTAGACCTTCCAATCTGGCACCCAGCTCGGAAGGAAAGTCCTGAACAGCCGTTGCTCCGCACAAGATGTGAGCAAAGGCATCTTCGCCGGTTGAAACACCTCACTTGGCAAAGGATCAACGAGTTACTGGGTGCCAAAGCAAGGATTGTGCTCGCACCTGTTCTAAACGATCTCATCACTGTATAACAGCCGGATGCTGTTGGCTCGTTTTTGATATGCCTTCGAACATCCATCAAGTTGGACAGCAGGAGACCGGTCTCACCACACAAGTTCCTCTACTTCCTGTGTTTACAGGGCACCTCCACATCCGACGATGTCGATGCTTGCATCCAAGCGCTCTCGAAACTGTCAGGGACAAATGAACTCCCGACCATGTGGGACTGTGCCAATCGCTGGGATGTTCGCACTTATTTGAAGAACTGCTTTTGCTCGGCCGAGAAACCGCAGAAAACAAAACAACGCTCCCTGTCGGGCCTGCAGTTTTGCAGGTTCGAACGTCACAAAGATTCAATCATACCTAGCTCGCGACACGCTCGGCCCATCTCCCCGCCTGTCGAACATTTCCCAAGGCCTGACATGCCAGCAAGGCAGGTTCTTGCCCGAAGACTGGGTATTGGATGCTCCAGCAACTGCCGTCTCGTTCGATGCACGCTTACCAACATGAGACCACTACAAAACAATGATGGCACTGTGCACCGCGCAATACTCGCACCAGATTCGCTACAGACCAGACGCAGCAGAAGTGGACACCATGTAATTTTGACACAACGTAGCTGAACACATCGAGCCCTGTAACTCGGGAAAAGAGCGACGCTGGGCAACGGCAGTGCAAACGTGGACAAATTGCAGTTCGTGATGCTGAAATGCGATGTGGTGGCATTTGACGATGTATTTTGCAACAGCTTGCGCACCCCGACATGTGCAACACGCGGACCTAGAAATGTTTAAGGTGCACTGGCCCAGCGGTAGTTGAGAGTCGGAGGATCAGCTGCATCTCTGCCAAGAGGCTATGAGGCGGACGTGGTGGCCACCCATACCCCCAAATCCTGCCAGCGGTGCGGGTTGCAAACCCTCGGAACGGAGGACTGTCTGTCAAGTCTAGTTGTGATGGAGAATACGCATGTGGTCCCGCTCAGGCCTTCTAGGGATGTCCTGGATGAAGGGAATGGTGCGAATTAGTTAACATGCGCGGACTTCGTTATGTGGCTACATGATTGCTAGTTCGAATACGAACCTAATCAAACCTCCAGAGGACAGGCTCTGATTCTGATCCAGTCTTAAGTCCGGGGTTATGGCTTGGAGAACCGTGCTGATTCCTCGACATGGAGATCAGCGCGCATGTCAATACGGCTACATGCGAACCCTTCAATCTCAACTGGAATGCCCGGTCACCTCCCTTGGGATGCAGGACCGTGGACTCCGAGTCCACATCCACGGCTAGTGCACCACCCACGGTGTTGCAACAGACCACATAGCCCAGAGCGCCCCCTGGCGAAGGTGCACTCCTGTTACCTGTTAGAATCCGGTTCCTCCTCCATCCTGTTTGCCCAAACCTACGGGTAGCACGGTCTCATCAAGCATCATGATCAGTATGATATGGTGCCAGAACAACTCGCAGTCTACTAAGCGCAGCGACTGTTAAACCCGAGTTCAACTTCTCCGACTCCAGCATGGAACCGCTGAGCCGTTCCGCTCGGCCCGGCCTTTTGACTTTGCTTTGGGGTTCAGCATGGCGGCCACAGCATCAAAGAACGGCGCATCCTGGGTCCCGGTCCGAGGGGTCTCCAGCCGGAGGAGGTGTCGGGAAAGAACTGGGCCATGGAGGCTAATCAAGGCTTACAGCGTGCTCACCGCAGCTCCTTAGCTTCGGCTCCTTAGATAGCACCGGAAGAATGTTATCACTCTTCGGAGCGGAATCATGCTGCAGCGCGTCGAAGTAGGGAGGGAGCTTGAAGCCCAACGCCACTTTGTAAGGCTCGGAGAAGATCTCCTTGGATGAGCCGGATGTGGTCGCCCATGGCAGCTACTGCAGGAACATAAATGAAAGCACTGTGCGGGGGTGGTTCAAGCTCAAGCCCACCACGGAGCAAAGCCGTGCGATTCACATGAAGCCAAGATGCATGGCTCGCGATCTTCTCGACAACAAGAGACAGTTGTGGAAAGTCATACCCTACCAGCGGCTTCCCAGGCACGTTCGGGCATGCCACGTTCACCTCCACCGCGCTCCTTGAATCGACTTTTGCAGCTACCCATTGCGTTCCAAAGTCATAGGCGGAATGAAAGGACGGTCGCAGCACAGGGCTAGAAAGAAGCGTCAAAGGACCAGGACCTGCAGCCACGGAGCAGATATTGTATGGCGTCAGGATGCTCCAACAACCCATCCAGCATGGACAGGTTCTCATCCAGCGACAGTCCGGATATTGACAGGATGTACGGCTTACTGCTTGGCGCAGCATTCTCCTTCAGCCTGCGCCGGTACAGTCGTTTTCTGCTACTTGCAGCCACAGAAACTTGGACATGGGTTCTTCTCTTTCCGCAGTGTCAACTCGTTCTAACGTTCTGCCGATGCAGGTCTGCCCAAACCGAAAGCTTCCAGGTTCCGGAACCCAGCACTCGCTATCAGTCAAGCGCCGCCTGCCTCTGCAGCATCGATACGTCTGTGTAAAGCCCTACCCCAGCATTCGGCAAGCCTTCAGAGTTCACCTTCGGCATGGACAGAGGATTGGATATTCAAAGACTTGCAATGCCATGTGCTTGCATGTGCGCGTGCGCAGGTGATACTGCGGATGGGCCGGCTGCTCCGTCCACACCAGCATGGGCTACTCATACGGGTCCCTCCCATCAGATTGTCAGAGGTGCCACTACTTTATCCACACAGGCGCAACCAACTGCCTGCATGGCAAGTTTTACATTCTGTGTAGAAGGAGCGGGAGCCTGTGCTGTGTAGTGTCGTACTCACTGTTGCCAAGGTGCACAGGACATTGGCTGCGGGGCATCGGCCCATCATTGCGAAACAACAAGGGATAGGTGAGACTCCAGCTTGGGATGCCAACACGTGCACATGCAAACATTTTGTAGACAGGAAGCTGCAGAGCGGCAGCCTTTGCAAGCCAGGAGTTCATGCACTCAACGGTATCACGACAATAGCCAGAGCCATCGCAGTTTTAGACGTGAGCCACAGTGCAGTCTTGGAGGAGAGAGACAGAGAGAAAGGCAAGCGCATGAGCAGTCTAAATGAAAACCAATCCACACGCATTAACATCCAGCTGCGCATGTTAAGACCCCTGCGTATGTATGTATGTATGTATGTATGTATGTATGTGTGTTTGCGTTATATAGAAAGGCATATATGTATGTGTGTGTGTGGGTAATTTCACACACATATACCGTATGTGCATATGCGCATAGACATCTGCACCCATAATTGTATTCAGGATGTATTCAATATACACCTGTGTGTCTCAAAGATAAATCATGTGACCTATGCAACATAGCTCCACATCATTCAACTGTCAACAACTGCATACATACAAAGTACACATATACCAGCACCTACTCAGGACTACTCTCAAACACCATATGAGCGTACATGAGTATAAATATGCATAAATAAATAAATATAAATATATATATATGTGTGTATATATATATATGTATGTATACATATATACACACTAATATCCATACAGTATGTATTTTTATACACACAGTAACACTTCCATCCTGCCACCCTTCCATCGATACATGAATGCACATACAGTCATAGATGCATGCAGACACATATAAATGTATGGTGAGAGACGCTGTCTCGTGTTTGTTGTTGTTGACCCTTCGAACAAAAAAAAGCATCAGGTCTTACCTGTTGCGAAATTCCATCGAGCGGCGCTGCTGTTGCTTTCCCCGGACGCCAGTTCTACGTAGCGTGGATGTGCATTGCCCTCTCTGGGCTTGAGCGTAGCACTCTTGGAGCACACAGCCCCCGACCTGAGATGATTCCAAGGCTGATTCGCCGAGAAGTCCGGCTCTCCTTCTGTGACATCGAACTGAGCGAGGAACGAAGATCGCGCAATGTCAATGAGCTGCTTCTCTGTATTCGTGCGGGGGCCACTCGCATTCCTAAGCTTGCAGGGAAACCGAGAACCTCGGATGGAAGCCTCAAGTCCTCAAAGCGGCCAGGGCACAGAATGCAGCAGGACAAAGGCAAGCCGGCCAAGGAACAGCCGAGGTCTGCCATGGCGAACACGTCTGTCCACCGTAGCCCATCTGATCGCCTCTAAGACTGCGTCTGACTGCGCTGCTGTTGCTCTCGTGGCGATCAATCTTGCACTTCTCACATTCTCCATACTATGGCGATAGTTGTGACTATGTTTTCGATTACGGCAACTACAGCGTGTTGCGACTGTTACCACTGTCGCTAGTGCAGCTGCTCTTTCACTGTTATCGCCCTGGTTTCTGCTATCTTCTATTGACCTTCCACTTCTATTCGAGTTTCAGCATCTGCTCCTTGCATTCATTCGAACTATTTTCGCCGCGAGATACAGCTCTTCTCTCCTGGTCCATTGTATGCTCAGGGTCTGCCCGCAAGCTTGAGCAACAAGAAGAACATCATGCGGCAACGCTTTTAGCTTCTTGGGCCGACCTCTCATGCCCCCGAGTCCCAAAGCCGCGTTACGTTGCGACAAGGACGAAACATCGTGTCTGCTCACATTGGAAACATGTCTCCGCGGCACCTGCATCTTGACAATCATGTCCCCCAGTCTGGAAGCGCCCTGTGACACGGCCAACTGATGCAAGTGTTCATGAACCCTCACTAGTTGATGCAAAGCAGTGTAGAACTCGTAGAAACCCATCAGCGATGCCGGAAAATTCACACAGACCTCTTGCTCAAGGGATCTCGGCAGAAGCTTTCGCAGGTGGCCTCAAAGCCTCACGAGACCTAATTGCTTGCTTGTACTGGCTACAATTCAAATCGGCAACAAAGGACCTAAACCCAACTTAGCTCAGTTTGCGCAACATCAAAGCTGTCGCAACATCACTCCGTCCTTGTTGTGTTTGCTGTAGGCTCTGGGGTCCGTGTCCTCGTCCTCGTCGTCGTTGTATCTGGCTTCGTTGGGGCTCAGACCGCAGCGTCTTTGCACGGAATGTCTCATGGCCGTCATGGCGTGTCTATGCAAGCAGAAAAATGCCTTGTGACGAGTGCATCTGCTGTTGGCTGCTCATCCAAGATCCGGGCATCACCCAGATCTGCACATCATTGTCCCGCAAAGCCACCTCTTATGGGTTTGCAACGTCCAACTTCCACAGATCGAAAGGCCATGTTGGAAGATATGATGGCTCCCTGTAGTAACACAGGGCAGTGCCACTTTGCAGGGGATGACTTGACAAACTTGGCCTGCCTGTTTAGTCTGCGATCTGCCATCAAAGGCGCGATATCGTTTAGCATTACAGGATGGACTGTGAGCTGCACGCGCCTCCACCTCGAATACATCGAAGGGAAAGGTTGCCATGTCCGCAGGCATGTCCTGGGCACTGGGCAGCAGCCGGCGGAAAGCGCAAAGCTATAAGTTTAGGGAATGGCCCGGCCTGGTTGTACATGACATGTGTCGTGCTGAGGACATGCGGCGTCTCTCCCAGAATCTGGCACAGAACGGAGTGTCACACTCGGACAAGACTACAGCTCTGCCTGGCTAGGGCAATGCGTGTGGCTGGCCTGCAGGAACAAGCAGCACCCCAGGCCCATCGAAAACACGCTGACCTGCGCAACCTCCAAATACCTGGCCGAGGTTTGGATGTTCAACCACAGGAAGCTTCCAAGGGATTTTAGCGACCAGCCCACGCCGTTATGCATGGCTGAATGAGAGGTGTTCTCAGCAAGTGCCACAAACCGGCTGGGCTCGACTGCAGTGTTCCGCGAATGATTGAAGGACCTGGGCTGGTGCAAATCTTCGGCTTCAGGTTTTAAACTCAACATCTGGAGCCATGCGCGCATCAGCAGTGCGATCTGACTGGTGGGAGAGTCGCCTGACATGCTCTACAAGAGAGGCGCAGTTTCCCTCAGCCCCAATTCACGTACTGACACTCCGTGTCCGCCCACACATTCAACATGTCATTATGAGTCCATTTTCCATTGGGATATCAACACTTCGAACGTCCAAGGGCGAGGCCATACTGTATCCAGCGATGCTGACTGCTTCCCAGGGATGGTGTCTCACAGTGTTTCAGTGCATCTGGTCGACGGTGCAGTGTGTACAGACTGCCCTCTCCTGCTCAACGAGTTATCCCCGCGAAACGGCTTACTGCCACCAATTCAGACCTAGACTCTAGACCTCACTTCCATGCTTTGCGCATCCGAACAATGCAGGCTCCGTGCATCAATGATGATGACGTTGTACTCGTGCTGGTAAAAGTACCTGCAGGATTGATCGGGCATGTAATGTTGCCCTGCACCGTCTCAGGAGAAATCTGCGCGATCATAAAATCATTGATTCTCGAAGCTGGCTTTTCAGCTGGCCGAGATTGATCATCCAACAGAAATTGCGAACAGGGGCAAAGACTCTTGCACATGCCCTATCCAGTCTCGTCTCAACTAAACTCCTTGGACTTGTGCGGTTTGGTACTTGTTGCCTCTTCGACTGTATCAGAAACCGGCGATGCATGGCATATGGCAACGCAAGGACTGCCTGCGAAAGACTTACAGAGTGCTGTCTCCATGCGTCTTGGCCCTGGTGGCGCACACGGCCGGCTGGATCAGTTGAGACCAGTGAGCTTCCACATTCCCCACGTCTCCGATCATCAGCAGGCACTGCGCAAGCAAAGGTTCCAACATCAGCGCTGTTCTCAGTCGCTTGGAGGGCTTGGGACCATGAAAGGGCAGTCAAACAACACCCCGGAATATGCGGGCCAATAACAGCTTGGCAACTTCAGCAGACTTGCTCAAGTTCATGGCACGCTGCAGTCCTTCTTCATCTTAAACCGCTCCGAGAAGTTCAAGTAGTCGGCAGTGACGCCTCTCAAGGCTAATGGCCGAGAGCAGTGGTAGTAGTAGTGGTCGTCG